AGGCCTTTCGTAGAGCCCCCAGCGGGAGGCGCCGGCCCCAGCAGTCCCCAGCCCGGGGCAGGCTCTGCTCCTGGGCGGACTGCGTTGGAGGCAGCCCCCCCCTTCCGACTGAGGCCTGGCTCCCCTCCCATCCCAATGGCACCCTGGCTCCCAACCCACTGTCTTTGGGCTCTTCCCGTGGGGAGCCTGCACTAGTGGGGCTGGGCCCCCAGGACGTCTAACTCTCGGGGTCCCTCACCTGATTGCAGAGGCGTGTTGAGAGAGGGGAGCACTGACATATCGTCTCTCCTTAGAGTCCCTTCTCAATACCCTCTGGGTTGGTGCCCTCTCCCCGCAGCCCTGCCTCCAGCGGGGCAGAGGAGGCGTCCCACTTTCACCCCTACGATGCTGGAGGAGAGGGCTCATGGGAAAGCTGGGTCTGACCCTGAGTGGCATCAAGCCAGGAGCAGCCTCCCTCCAAGTCAGGAATGGGCAGCAATAGCAAATGGACTTGGGTGCCAATGAATCGGTTCTCTGATCTCTCCAGCCTAGTGAGTGGCTCTCCCAGGTGGGGCTCCTCTAGGCCTGAGACCCCTGGGACATGCCACGGTTCTGTCAGATCAGGCCTAGCGATGTGAAATATCAGTTCATTGAATAGTCAGTTAACCTCATGAATTCTTATTGGTTACTCGACTATTTGATAGTCCCCCCGGGGGGGGATACTGCGCTCCAGGCCTGCTCCCGAGGAGCCTCCGGTCACTCCACGCTGCTGCTTCTGTATCAGGTAGATCTTCTGTGTGGGAGCAGACGCTCCTACAGGAGTTGAGGGTGTTCAGTAAGGGAGGCGATCCCCCTGGAAACCTGTCTTCGCAGGTACTCAGAGGGTTTTTTCTCCTTAAGCAGGCATCCTGCATAGTACGTATAGGGGACTTCAATATGGGGGCTTCAGTACCTGAAAAATATTCTGGAGCAAATGACAAAACAGTATCGCTAGAGGATGCCTGGGTCAGAGGGAGGAGCCGGTGGCTTTGTTGACAATAGATCCTGCCAAATAACCTATTTCCCTTGTTGACAGATGCTGGCTTAGGGCAGAGGGGAGCGGTACAGGGTTTGACACAGGCAGTCTAGATAAAATCACCACAAGATAACTGGTTGACGGCGGCCCTCAAAGAGTAGTCAGTGGTTTGCTGTCAAACTGGGGGTACTATCTAGCAGGGTCCTGAGGCAAGCCTGTTCCATAGTTTCATTAACGACTTGGATAATGAGCATAGACTGCCCTTATAGCATCCAGCCCAGAGGGGTTGCCGGCACTGTGGATGGCCGTTGGAATTCGAAACAACCTTGACACGTAGAGAATGGAGAGAGACTCAACAGAGGAAGTGGACTAAGGAGAAGTGCGAAGTGCTGAATTTAGGCAGGAGCTGGGAAGTGCCCAGCACAAAACAGACCAGCTGGCTGGGTGGGGGTAATGGAGGGAGCATGTGGGCATTAGAGAGGATGACGAATTGAATATGAACCAACAATGTGATCAGTTGCCAAAAGGGCTGGTATCGGGCTGGGGTGTGTTAACAGGAGCTTTACTTATGTAGCTGTCCTGCTTTCCGTGACGCTGCGGAAGCCTCGGTTGGAGTCCTGTATCCGTTTCTGGGTGTGACCCCTCAGGAAAGTTGGCGAGAGTTCAGAGGAGGAGGGTCAGAAAACCTGACCTCTGAGGGGAGATTGCAAACCCTGTGCATGTTTAGTCTTGATAAAAGACAACTGGAGGGGGGGGTTGATAATAGTCGTACAAGCTGTTAAGGGCCGGTGGATGTGTTCGCTGTGCCCACTGAAAGCAGGGCAAGCAGCAAGGGACTTAATCTACAGCCAGGGAGTTTGTCTGGAGTCGAGTTTTTTTTTCCTCATATTAAAGTGCCATTAAGCTCTGGACTAGGCTCCCCAAGGGCACGTGGATGCCTCCGTCGGAGGGGTTATGAGCAGATGGCCACGTGCCTGTCAGGGATAGGGTAGGGTTACTTGGTCTTGCCTCAGCACAGGGGCCTGGACTTGGCAAGCTCCCTTGCAGCCTGACATAGCTGTGATTTTTGTTATCGGACGCTCTGTGATTCTCCAGTGAAGGGCGGATTTATAGCCCTTTAGTACAGAGACAGACGCTGGGGCGCAGAGCAGGGAGGGAGCTGCCTGAGGAGATGCTGCTGCCTGGCTGCACTGACCTAAAGTCAGGAGTCGGGAATGTGAATCCTAGAGGAAACCCCAGGGCTTGCTGCCCTCAGGTGCGACCCCAGGAAGCTATCTGGCAGAAATCCACTCCCGGTCTCCCAGTAACATTCTCCCCACAGTCGCTCTGGCCCCGTCTCCCAGTAACATTCTCCCCACAGTCGCTCTGGCCCCGTCTCCCATAACATTCCCTCCACACTCTCCGAGTGTGGTACATCCCTGCTTCGCGAGTGCCCGGACAGCGTAACTGTAGCTCAGCCAGGGTGTTCTCCTTGCAGAGTAGCATGTTCTGCACAGGGAGGGAGGAAAGACAGAAGGATTTCTGCTCCACGTGGAGAAAAAGTTGGGAATTCAGCTTTTGTTTTCCAGGCTCAGAGGAGGAAGAGAGAATTCTCCAGAGCCTTGTCCAGGCTACAGCAAACAGAGCCCTCTTGAAAGCATGAGCCCGTATGGCAAACCCTGTGCTATGGACACGGCCCACCAGTGTTCAGCAGTTCCCGGGGGCTCTGGAAGGAAGGCACCTTTGGGTACCGATAAGTAGGAGACCCAAACGAGGCAAACTTGGGCTGAATAGCAAAGGAATCTCCGACACTAGGGGCCTAAGGGAAGTGGTGGGAACTCCCATTAAGGCAGTTGCCTCTAGGCTAGACAAAGCCCTGCCAACAGCGGAGTAGTGCACAGTCCTGCCCTGGCTTGTGAGGGTGCAGTGTGGGGAGCAATAGGGCTCTTCCACCTCTTCATTTTCAGCTGGTACAAGCTGAGATTGCAGAGGAAAGGGGCGCTCTGCTTTGGCGTCTGGATTAACCCCGATTCCCTGCGCTGCAATTCTGCTGAGCACAGCTGGCACTGGTGCAGATGTGCCGAGCCCGCTGGAAAGCCAAACTGCTCCGCGGCGAGGGCCATGCTTGTGAATGTCAGTGCAGCAGAATGCCCTGCAGGCTAGCTGCAGTGAGTGAGGGGTGAGAGGCCAGCTCTGTCCAGGGGCAAGAAAGCAGCCCTACGCAGGGACACTGGGATTGTGCGTTCCAGCTCATTGACTTCTCGCTTAATCCCGCCGCACCCCCAGTATCCCTTCTCTGGCAGAGACGGCGCTGTCATGTTGGAGTGACCAGCACCGCTCTGCGGGTGACTTGCTGTCCCCTTAGTCTGTCGGGGTCGTACCCTGCGCGTGGTACGTTGGGGGGAGGGGTCCCATTGTCAAACTGCCTGCGCTGTCCTCTTGGCCCCTGGGGGTGACGAGCTGTCAGTTGATGTCGGCAGGCCCGCGTGGAGAGGATGGAGCAGTTCCAGAGGGAGAAGGAAGAGCTGGAGAGGGGCTGCCGGGAATGCAAGCGGAAGGCAGCGGAATGCCAGAAGAGGATGGCGGAGCTGGAGGAGCCGAGTGCGGAGGGTGGCAGAGGGGAGCTGCAGAGGCTCCAGACTGAAGTGCAGCAGCTGAGAAGAGAAGAGAAGAGCTGGGAGAAGAAGCTGGAGGAGCTGCGCAAGAAGGAGAAGAACATGCCCTGGAACGTCGACACCCTGAGCAAAGATGGCTTCAGTAAGGTTGGTCGGAGCGGTGCCTGGGCAAGAGGAAGGGAGGCAGCGCCCTGCCCAGGTGGCTGCAGGGCTGGGGCTGCGGCAGGCGAGGCAGCAGCGCCATGACCCGGCCTCCTTCCTCCCTCTCCGCAGAGCGTTTTCAACGTCCGGCCCGAGGAGGGGGAGGAGTCGGAGGAACAGCGCGAGAGGAAGCACAAGACGTTCGTGGAGAAGTATGAGAAACAGATCAAACACTTCGGTGAGTTGGCAGCCGAGGGGAACGCACCGGGAGTTCCTCTGGGCTGCGTGACGCTCCTGCTCCCGCCTAGCTGTGTTCCCTGCTGCCTGGGTCATGCCCGCGACGCCCGTCTTCCCCTGGCTGTAGCCGTAGAAGTAGAGATCGTGCAGCTGAGACACCCGAGTTCAGGTGTGGGCTGCAGCGTGTTCCCAGAGCGATGTGTCAAAGGCACCAGTGAGCCAACGCTCTCCAACACAGCCCAGTCCTGGGGCTTGCTTTTCTCCTTAGTTCTCTGGCACGCTGCCGCGAGACTGTAAGGGCCAGCATCCAGCTGGTGGCATGTAGGTGCTCCCCGAATGGCTTTTCTCTTGCATCCTGCCCCTGGATTTCCTCTGCCTCCTCCTAACGCTTCGCTACCTTAATAGTCCTGAGCGGCAGCGTTTCTTGGATGCCCCTCGCCTGCTGGACCAGCGTGTCCTGTGAGGCAGGGAAGTGTCTGCCCCGCCTTACCGCTGTGGGGCTGACGTGCAGCGTGACGTATCCAGGGCCACGTGGCAAGTCTGGCAGGCGAGAAGGGAGCCCCGGGCCAGTGTCTTCCCGCAGGCCTGTCGTCCCTTGAGCCCCTCTTGGGTTGCGAGGCTGTGGTGCCACGCCAGCGGGCCTGGACTGGCTTTTGCCGTCAGCCTGATGCTTGATACGGGAGTCGTGGGCCCCTGCTACATACTCTTGGGAGGTTCAGCTGGGTGTTCCTCAGTTAAATTCCCATAGCCTCCCACCGGTGAGACGGCAGGCCCTGCCTGCCTCAGGGCTGTGGCTGTTACATGCAGCCAGAGGGGAAGTTAATGCACTGTCCTGCCATCGATCTGCCCCAGCTGCAGAGGCGTAGCTCAGCTACCAGCCCAGCAAGGCCGCTGAGGCACAAAGGCCCAGGTCCTCAGCAGCGTTTAACGCCTTCAGGCTAAGTGACATGACCAAGGTCTCCCATGGCACCTGGTGCAGGTGAAGGAATTGAACCCTGGTTTCCCCGTCCGGGCGAGTGTCCTAACGCCGCCTCTTGCAGTGCCACTGACCCTGTCCAGACTCCACTTGAGAGCATGAGCGGCAGGCTGGGGGCCTGAGGGCTGGCTGGGCTAACTCCGGCTCTCCTGCCCGAAGGCATGCTGCGGCGCTGGGACGACAGCCAGAAGTACCTGTCTGACAGCCCGCACCTGGTGTGTGAAGAGACGGCCAATTACCTGGTCATCTGGTGCATTGACCTAGAGGTGGAAGAGGTGAGACGGCGGCTGCGTTTCCCCAGGGCCCGCAGTCGGGAGTCCCACGGGCCCTGCTGAGTGCTGGGGGCCAGGCTGGTTCCTGTTTGCTCTCTTCCCTAACGGGTGCCTCATGGCCTAGCTGGTTTCCAGCTGGCTCCTTGCCAGTCCAGTGCGTTAGCTCCCCCCGCTGGCTGCTCGGTCTCTTCCGGAGCCCGTCCTGGGAGCTGAGTCTGGGGGGACGGCAGTGAACTCGCCTGTGCTGGCTCTCGGCCAGCCTGTGTCCTCCCGGGGCTGCTGGGATGCGCCGGACCGAGCACGCCCATGGCGGAGTCTGTCTGCAGCTCTGAGGCACAGGCTTCCTCTCCCCTAGAAACACGCCCTGATGGAGCAGGTGGCCCACCAGACCATCGTCATGCAGTTCATCCTGGAGCTGGCCAAGAGCCTGAAGGTGGATCCGCGAGCTTGCTTCAGACAGTTCTTCACCAAAATCAAGGTGCGTCCCAGCCCCCTCCAGCGGGGCCGTTTTCTTCCCCCTCCTGCTGTTGCGGGGCGGTTCCCGGGCCAGCTGAGGGTCCTTGCCGCAGAGCGCTGGGCCGGTCGGCAAGATGCCACGAGGAGCTGGACCCCCTGGGTAGCTTCAGTTCTCCCAGCTCCTGCTAAGGCTACGCCTGCTGGCTGGTGTGAGACAGCCTCTGCTGGAGGCGGAGGCCTTTGCGAGACAGATTGCCCCATGCCCACCTGTGCGGTTGCTCGTGCTACCTCTGCAGCTGCTGCTTTGGCTGCTTAGCCAGACTGGCTCCGGCCCGTGCCGCGCCAGAGATGGCATCCTCCTTCCTTCTCCACCCGCCCTCTGGAGAGCGGGGCCCCAGGCCTGCCGGTGTTGCGGACCTCTCGCTCTCGCGCCGTAGTGGGAGCCGTAGCTGGGTCACCGCTGTGGCTGAGCTAACGCTGACGATCGGCCTTTCCTGCTGGGCCGCCTGGAAGACGCTGGTGGCGCTGCCCCCGAGGCCCCGGGCTAGAGTTGTCCCTGCTGCCCGCTGCTCGCGCTGTGCCGGGGTGATGCTGCGGGCAGAAAGGGTTTGCTTGTGACACAGGCCTGTGCGCTAGGTGGCTAACGAGGGAAGCGCCTCCCCCGCTCCCAGCCCTGCAGTCGGGCTGGCTACGCGGGCACATGGCCTGAGCGGAGGGGTGCAGCCTGGGTTCAGCCACACCTCACGTGCCTGGCCGGATCCTGTGCCACCTCGACTCCTGCTTTGCGCAGACGGCCGACCAGCAGTACATGGAGGGGTTCACCGACGAGCTGGAGGCCTTCAAGGAGCGGGTGAGAGGCCGGGCCAAGGTGCGCATCGAGAAAGCCATGAAAGAGTACGAAGATGAGGAGCGGCAGAAGCGGCTGGGCCCAGGCGGGCTGGATCCCGTGGAGGTGTACGAGTCCCTCCCATCTGTGAGTAGGGGCAGGGCAGGTGGGGGCCCCCTCGCTGGGACACAGGGCGGGAAGGGCCAGGACACGAGAGTACTGGGCCCGTTCTCGGGCCAGCTCAGATGCTCTGGTGGGTGCCCCGACCCCCATTTCTGGGGGGCACAGGGGACTGGCTGGGTTTGGGAAGCGGGCACGGGATGTCCCCTCCCTTGCCCAGTGCAGTGGGTCGCTGCGGCGTGCGCTGCCCAGGCCTGGGCCTGTCCCAGCCCAGCTCACCCGGCTCCCCTCTCCCCAGGAGCTGCAGAAATGCTTTGATGTGAAAGACGTTCAGATGCTGCAGGATGCAATCAGCAAAATGGAGCCTGCGGTGAGTATCGCTCGGGGCCGCGGTGCAGGAGGGGAGGTGACTGCTTCCTGGGGCTGGGCATTGGGGTCTCCTCGCTGCCCCCCAGCCGCAGCGTGGTGTGGGGGCTGCGGGGGCCTGTGCTCACACCCAGGCGCTGCCTGCCTTCCAGGAAGCGAAGTACCACATGCAGCGCTGCATCGACTCTGGGCTCTGGGTGCCGAACGCTAAGAGTGCGGAGGGAGCGGAGAAGGGCGCAGAACAGGCGGAGGCCGTCTACGAGGAGGTCAAGAGGGAGAGCGGCGAGGAGGAGAAAGGAAACCCCTGAACTACTGCTGGAAACGCCTCAGACTCTGCCCTCCCCTCCCCTCACACCCCGTTGTCCCTCAGGCCGCCGCCTCTGCTTTACACACGTGGTGATGTGTGAGCTGCTTGCCAGCCGGCTGTGTAGCCGGGGCCGCTTGGGGAGCGGCCGGGTGGCCCTGTGCTGGCCCTGGCAAGTCCCCGGGCGCCCAGAGGCCCTTGGCATGGCCGTTAGGAGTCAGGGCTCGCTCTGGGGGGCCGGGCACTGGCAGGGGGGCAGAGGTGCCCTTGTAACCAGTCAGGCTGTGGCCCGAATAAAGCGATTGAAGCAGCTGAGTGTGGCACTGGCGTTGTTGTGGCTCCTCGGAGAAGTGGGCGCCCCCCTCAACCCCCCTGCCGTAGGCTGGCCAGAGCAAAGTGCAGGGCCTGCAGGCAAACCCAGCAGCCCCCCTGCGCGTTGGGCTCCCTCCCTTGCAGCCCTGCCCGTGTGCTCTGGGCCTGGGGCGTAGGCCAGCTCCGCTCTCCAGCGCTGTGGGTCAGCAGCTCACTCACCGCCCCGGCGTCCTGCTTCTGTCTGGCCCGTCCCAGGTCTGGGGGCTTGTTCCCCAGTGGGGCTGGAGAGGGCGCGGGACGTGGCACCTGTGCCAAGCGGCAGCCAGGGGATCCTGGCTGAGCCCACGTGTCTGCTCCGTGGGGAGCAGCGCTTGGCTGGGTTGGCCATGCTGGGCCCAGCTGTGAACATCTCCTGTGCCAAGCTCTGTCTGGCTCAGGGTTCCTGCCCTGGGAGACAGGCACAAGGCAACCCCCAGCTGCACCCTGTGCGTCGGGGTGGCAAGGCAGGGGCAGGTGACGGGCCAGTTCAATTCTGCTCCAGCCGGGCTCCGTCGTGCACACACTTCCCGGTGGGCAGGCGGGTGGGGGGTTTGGGCATTAGGTCCAGGTTCTGCTAGTTCTGGGATCCAGGCCGCAGCACAGGCCTTTTAGAAGCCCCCCTGCTGTTTCTCTAGCAGGAGAGGCGGACTCTGGGCCCGCTTCACCGGTACTGTGGCCTCGGCCGTGTCCTGCGCAGTGGCACTGCCATCCGCCCAGCAGCGAGCAGCCGTCCTGGGCCCATTCGAAGCCAGCAGCCTGCTCTTCCAGGCAGCTGGGGCCAAGGCCTCTGTTCTGTGTTGTCCTCCCGCAGTGAGCTGGCCTGTCTCTGCACCAGGCTACCTTGTTATCTAGTGAGCTGCCCGCTGCAGAGTCCTAAGCAACTTCCCAGCCTGCCCTTCGGTTCCCACCGCTGCTCTGCCCTCCTCCCACGGGCCTCCCCTTTCTGCCCCTCAGCTGCTCTTCCTGCCCCCAGGTCTGGCTCCAGACACCACTAAAGGCAGCTGTGGGCCGGGGGTTGCTGCCAAAGCCTTGGGCACCTTTGAAATGATTCCTGGTCCAGCACCATGGCCGAGAGCAGTGGGCCTGTGGG